AAAGGTGAAATGGGGGAAGATGAAAAAGAAGAGGAGGAAGATAAATAATTAACTCATAAAGATTAAGAAATTAAACATTGCCTACTCGTTTGGGTAGGCAATAAAAACACTTATAATAAAAATTAAAATAAATATGCGAGACAATACAATTTGAGTAGAAATAACTGATAAAAAGGGATTTATCTTTTTTGGAGATTTATCTCGTTATCAAAAAAAGGAAGGAATTAATGTTAGTAATAGTGAAGTTGATATTATATGTGAAAATTGCCCTCATAAACTTAGGTTTAGCAAAAAAGAAGTTGAAACGAAAGATGGAAAAAGTAAAGTTTGAGATTGGTGAAAGTGGCGGGTCTTTTTGCGAGGTAATCAAATTTCCAAAAGCGAACTTGGTGGATATTATGGCAAACTCAGTATAAATTTTTACTGTACTCATTGTCAAGGTGATTTACCATCAAGAAGTTAAAGTTAAAAAATAATAAAATAAATATATAATACATGAAGACTGGTGGCAGTTATCTCATAAATAACTGAGGAAAGTCCGTACTCGCACTTACTGGAATGTAAGTAATTTTAGTGCTAGGTCCAATAAACCTAGGCGGGTCTTATTGTTCTCCTCCCGACGGCTGGCGAATGACCTAAATGCTTTTATTCTCTCTTCTCGGCAGATGGTCTAATAGCCTATAAAAGTGCCATAGTGACGATTACTCGGGAAACCGAGGAAGTGGAACGTCGTAAACCCCACTAGCGAGCAATCCAAATTCTTTAAATTGGTAGGAGCACCAAAGAAAGAGAATAATAATCTCAATTGGTAATTCTCACAAGGAATTAAGACAGATCACCGGTTAAAAACAGAATACGGCTTATTCTTTATGTATTAATGAGGATAAAGGTTGATTACTTTTAATTATTAAATTATTGTTTTATCATATTAAAAGTGCAGAGGATGACAGTAACCACTCTCTCTTAGTTTGGAGGTGTAGTTCAATTGGTAGAACAGCAGTCTCCAAAACTGCGTGTTATGGGTTCGAGTCCTGTCACCTCTGCCATTTTTACAAAAAGGTTTTTTTTAA